ATAGCGAGCGTGGATAATTTGAGAATCAAATTGCCCTATCCCGATGCATAAAAAATGCAGTGGACATTGGAGTGCTTCAATGGTAAATCACCATATGCAATATTTTTTTGTTGCTCATTGCCGGTTAAATTGTATTGATACGGAAGATGAAAGTTCTAAAAATGGATGTAAAAAGCTAGTAATAATTGTTTGTGTTTGCTAGTGATTATTGCTGTTCTAGATGCCGCATTCTAGTGTATTTATTTATTCATGAGAGTTAGTATGTAATTATGTGCATTTGAGAAGGTTATTCAAATAAAAACAAAAAAGATTAATGGATTAAGGAAAAGGAAAATTTACCATGCTTCAAATGATGATATTTCTCACACATATTTTCAACAATATGTGTGTGTGTAAATTTCTCACACATTGTAATATAAAAATCTGACATAGTAGCATGTTTAGCTACTAATATCTTATACTTTTTGTCATGAAAAAAATTGTCATTTTTACTGTTGGCATCAGGGTTTCAAACTTCATACTATTTACTGTGCAGGAATGAGAAAGGCTTATTGGATTACTTGCAATGTTGAACCAAACATACAGCATTTGTCTCTTGACAGGAGAAGATTCCCAAGTAATTTTCTAGTGAGGCCTCGAGATCTCAACAGATTGCTTGCTAATTTTCAGTCGTCCCTTCAAGAGATCACCATCATAGCAACAGAACCAAATTCCTTGCCTTCTGATGTAGCAAGTGAAATTGGAGGGAAAGCTGTTGAGCTTAGGAGTTATATAGACCCAACAAAAGGTATGATGAATGTTTTTTATTCGTGAGTTTACTTGATCAGCATGTTTACTCTTCAATTTTTGACTGCAGACAATGACTTGTCACTACACACTCAACTATGGATAGATCCCATGGAAGAGTTTCTTCAATACACTCACACTGGGGACCCTGTAGACGTCACATTTGGTGTGAAGGAATTGAAGGTGTTGTAACGCAAGCCCTGAAACCTCATTTCTGTTACATTGTTGTGAATGAATTACTTGGAAAAGCCTTATCCCAACTGATAGGAAATTTTACTTAAACACCTTCATCAATTAGCTGTCATAATCAACTCTTAGTTTCTTGAATCAATACCATCTAGAAAGTTTATGGAATATCTTTGCCAATTGGATTTGTCATTCTATGCTCTAAACTTTCCTAATTGATTTTTATGTTTCAGGCGTTTCTTTCTTTCTGTGAAGGCTGTGAAGTTGACATTCACTTATATTTTGAGAAAGCTGGCGAGTAAGATAAATCTTCTATTTATCCATGTAATTTTCCTTTCCTTTTCATGTTTTTACTTGTTAGAACCCCGGTTGATTCCCGGTATTTTCTTTATTGATTTTCTTAGTGCCGGAAGTAAATGACAGAAATTATAGATAAGAGGAATTCGAGGTTCCTTAGCCTCCCTAGATCCAGACTACAATGGCAACTAATTTCCTACCTATTCCCTTGCTTACCCCCTTATTAATAGTCCCCCTCCCTCGATAAGTGAAATA